CCATGACCAAGCAAAGATGCATAAAAAGCCACAATAAAACTAGATTCAACTTTCATAAGAATTTAACACACAAACACAATACAATATTAACAAAAACTACCAAATTAACGGATCATTTTTTCCCGAACCTGAAAATGTGGGCTGTTGAGACTCCTCCCGATCTGCCTAAACAGAGGCACCATACACCTTTGAAACTCCACAGACTGTGTAACCTCCAAAATCTCCTCCAACTCTCCCAAGAACAAAACCTCTTTCCCACAGTTAGTAATAGGCCAGTACTTAAGCACCCCCCGAATAACAACATCCGCCAGCCTGTAATCCTTCTCCACAAACTGTACCACACAGTAAGTCAACTGCTGATGATATTGGGCCACGCATTTGGGCTTGTGCAGTGGGATCAAGGCCCGTACAAGGAACAGCTTGTGCTCTTCCTTCATCGGCAGCGCAAACCCGTTGATAATGCTCCCGAGTATTTCCAGCAGCTCACCCACCCCATTATACCTCTCAGTCTCGAATATAAACCGGTAGAAAATATTATTAATCGCATTCCTTATAAAGGGTCTGTGTACCATAAATCGCCCATATATCCTATGAAGAATAGTCTTCAGATACTCTCTCTCCCTCATATCTTCAGAGTCGAAAAGATTAAGCAGTTTCAGAACGAACGTGTGGTCAAGATAACGTTTGGCTACACGAGTCTCCATATCTGACGAAACGACATATCTCAACAAAAGCTCGTAAACGAGCTGCAAGTGGGGCCAAGTGGGGTCCGCGAAAACCTCGTCTTCTTCCGGGTCACCGCCTTCCAAGCCCGTGTTCTCATGAGGTGCTGGCGGAAGGCAGCGGAAGATATTTGCGGAGATCATTCGAACGAGCTCTTCTTGCATTATCTCGTTCATCTTGCACGAGCCCGACTGAACGAGGTCCACTAGCTCGGCTAGGGTTTGACGCTTGATTTCTTTCTCGCGTGCCGATTTCATGGTGTCTGAGAAGTCGAACGAGATGCAGCAGATATAGACTTTGCGGATGAAGATGGAATGGCGTTCGGATAAAGGGGTGTCTTTGAGGGGAGGGAGGACTTCGACTATGCCGGGGTTTTGCGGGACGGGTGGCGGAGCAGGGACTAATGCGGTGGGCTGGCGGGAGGCGTGATTGACCGTGACTTCGGGGGGTGGGTTAGAAGAGACAGGGGGCTCTATGGGTTCGGGTTTTGAGGGCTTTTTCTGCCCTCTTTTCATTATTTTGTTGAACATT